TTGAATTTGTTGTATTTATATTTTATTTTAATTACAAACTAAAATAAATATTAAAAATGTATTGAATTAAATATATACTAATTATTTTTTCTTTTTCTATTTTTTTTAATTGGGTGATAACTTGCTTCAACTCAAAAATGAATAATGATACACAAAACGAAGCATTGATACAAAATAACGAGACGAAACTGAGTTGACATGACATTTCAACAAAATATTAAAAATTGAGTCCTAATCATTATATGAAATTTGAAACGAAGTGAGATTTGACACGAATCTAAGAGAAACAAAGAAATGCGAAAAATATGAGATTTGAAAGAGGAAAACAAATGATGCCACGAATAAGGAACTTGGAAGAAGATGATGAAGTGGGATCCAATTTTTAACATTTTGCTGAGGTGTCATGCCAACTCAGAATCATCTCATTATTTCGTCTTATTTCTTTATCTTGTATATCATTATTTATAAAAAATATGGAGCGTAATTTTCACCTTTTACTTTACCTCAAATTAAGATTTTTAACTTAATGAATATCATTTATCTCTTGTTAATTAATAAGGTTAAATATTGACAATCTAATAAGTTTGATTTTGTTGTTTAATTTTCCTGATTTTGTTGTTTAATTTTCCTTCATTTATTGTTTGGGTAAAAATTCACTTAATGGGTAAAGTTGAGTTTAAATTGTTTTGAGAAATGTAAAAATTAAGACCTTAATTGTCATGAAGAATAATAAAAAAAATTGTAATACCTTAAATGAATTATAAATACTATTAGTAATAGTTAGTACTAATTCTGTTTGAATAAGGATTTCCCAAATTTATTCTAGTCCTTATTTTAACTAGAACTATAATACAGCCGATGTACAGATTAAAAAATGTGATGAAAATATTAATCATACTCATAAAAGGACTTTTGTAAGTAAGGTTCTATGACAAGTGTTCAAAGGAAGAGAGGTGAAGAAAAGAATGCGTTTGTTATGAATCCAACCAAATTATAATGCATTTCATGGCCAAAAAGAAGAGAATGCATTTCATATGAATCCAACATCATACATAAATGATCGTTTTGACATATTTTTTGAAAATTAATGCTTACAGACTTCGCGAGATTACTTTGGTTTCTACTTTGAAGTAATTCATCATCTTGTGACTAACATAGACATTTTATTCTTATTTTTACTTTAAAAAAAAAAAAAAAACCTCTTCCAATTGGTTGCAAAAATAAATAAAATATTGGAGGAAATTAATTAATTATTTACAAAGATAATAGGAATTTAAGTAGCTAGTAATTAGTAACCATATCATTCCACAGGCTTTCATCAACTTCATCTCAGTATCTTAAGATGTGACAGAAGGTAGATTAATCTTTTAATCTTATTATTCATCTCCAGATCCGCATTATATGATGAAGTTTAAGTGAATTGCTAATAAATTGTCTACTTTTAATGTCCGTCATCTTCCTCGCTGTGGATTGTGCTGCTAAAGAAGAGAGATCACTGGTTATTGATCTTGAATCTCAGTATTTAAATGTGGGGACTACCTTTTGTGCAAGTCTTTGACAGTTAACACGGAGAGGATACATGAAGTTGGTGCGTTGGTAAGGAAGAAAGTATAAAGGACAAAGTTTCAATTAACGAGAGAATGAGAATGTTGAAAGTTCTCCTCATTCCATTTTAATTTGATTTTGTACTTAAATAATATTGGATTTAATGATTTTGACTTGACTTTGTTATGGTATGTATGCATATATAATGAAACCATCTTTTTAAATTTTATCTCTTTGTGAGTTATGGACCATACATGCATACTTTCGATCATCTGTAGGAAAGAGAGATAAAAGATTGATTTTCATGGATACTTCTATCCCCTCTAAAGAGACTCTGCTTAGTTGTCTCTTTCAAAATGTCCTCTTGAAAGTGCTACACCTATAGGCTCCATCCCCAGTTCACTAATGTAAGTTACTTCTGTCCTTTTAGCCATTTTGGTTTGTTTTAACACTTTCTGAGTATTGTTTTTGAAGAAAGACTTACTTTTGAAAGGTTAATTTCCCAATCATAGGGGCACCATGAAAATCCAGTTTGCAACTTCATTACCTTGGTGAAAGACATATGGATGAAGTTGAAATCCTTCAATGAATTTTTTGGCTTAATAGACAACTCCTTCAAGGATCGGTTGAATCTCTTAATTGGCTTTGGATGGGTCTTGGAAACCTTGGTAAACTTCTAGACAGTCAGCTTTAACAATGACTTGTTCCATCTTGTGTTGTCCATCTTGCTACATTTAAAGGTGGCACCTTTCCCTTGAATGATGAGATGTCTGTAAATTCTTGATATAATACCCACCGCTGCCTCACCTGTGTTGGGGCCAAATGAACCATAACAATTAATCTTAATGTAGTCAGCAGGAGGGTTTCCCCAGCAAGATTTGCATTTAGCTTTTCCAACACCTTGAAAAGATGCTATATGCATACTCAATATAGTAATGTGAGATACATGAATTGCATCATAGCTGGTTATGTTGTTCCAACGACAAGTGAATTTCTACCAATTTTTGATAGTTTGCACCTTTATAGTCCATTTTCAGAGAATCGAACCCTTAAACAATCTGAACCCTGCTCCATCTCCTCTCAACTTCAGCCGAGACCTATTTGGTGCACCCCAACTGATCTGTTTCCAACCTGATGAAGAACAACTTTGAAGCTTGGTAATTCGTGGGTCATAAGCTTGTCATGTTATGCCAATATTTGGTTACATTTGTCATTGTACAACCTATTTTGGATTTTTTTGTAGCAGTCGTCTGAACATTCTCCCTGAGTTTTTTGGGACAAAAGATTCATTAATAGTGTTTTCGTCTTCTCCTACCTAGTAGATGTTTTTGACAACAAGGCGGACTGAAAAACACCATTCTAATTCTTTAAAATCCCAGCAGCTGTTGTTCCTTTCTATTTTTTCATTCACATAAAATGAATGTTGAAGGTTTTGAATCCCTAATCATCTGCAGGTGAACATTGCAGGAATTGCTGGTGCCATACAAGATGGTGATGCTAGAAGATAATTTGATTTCAATGACACAAAAAAAAAAAATATTCAAGTTCAATTTTTTCCTTGTGAGGAATTGCATGGATTAGAAAGTTTAATTTTCTTCTCATTAACTCAGATGGGTGCACAATTCAAATGAAGTTAAATGATAATTGAAACATATGAGTTAGACGAAGAATGTCCCAAAACAAACTACCATGGTTCCAAAAGGATGTGAGAAACATTTATTCCCCTTCTCCAGTTATCTGATTCAACATGGGGAAGTGAAAGGTAAAAGTTTGCTATAAAATGTTTCTTCCTCTTAGGCGCACTGTTTGCAACACTGTTATAAATTTGTTTTCGTGATTATATTTCAGAATGTAACAAATGAAAGGGCGAGAGCAATCTTAAGTGTTGCTAAGAACCTTTCAGAAGAGAAAGTGACTGAAGTATTGAATGAATATCTGAAAGACTTTAAAGAGGGATTAGGAGAAGCTGCAGGGTGTCCTACTGACTATGGCACTCCAAAGCTCCCTTGAATGCTTACACAAGGATTTTGATTAAGAAGCACCCAAGTATCTGCATCAATTGTGCTTGCCCTGGCTTTGTGAAAACTGATATAAAGTACAATGCTGGAATCTTGACGGTTGAGGAAGGTGCTGAAGGTCCTGTGAGATTGGCATTGCTGCCAAATGGTGGTCTTTCTGGTTTGTTCTTCTCGTAATCGGAAGTGTTAGAATTCTGAAAAGAGTGTGTCGAACTTGCAGTACCAGAAGCATAAGTTAACAAATAAACATGATGCTAATATTAATATATAAACCAATATAAACCTTCTGTATGGATTGCATTTGAAATGGGTTGAAGAACCAGCTTTCCCCTTTTTTCTGCTAAAGAAACCATTTGTACAGATTAAGAAGATCTTGAAATCCCAAACTAGAAAAACACACACACACACAAGGGCCTACCTAAACACATCAGCCAGCTGCGCTCTTCAATCAAATATCAGAAGTCTATTGTTCTGCCCATAGCAATGGGACTCTCATGAAACAAGCTAGGAGCTAGCCCAACTGAGCTGTAGCGTTTGCAAAACATGCAGAGCAAACAGTAAAATAGCATTCTAAACAAGTATTATACAGCTCAATTAAAAGGGAAAAAACAACATATATCAACTCAGAATGCAAGGCACGCCCTTCCCATTGCTGTCACTTAACTAACAAAACTTCTCTTGTTGATCCGATGCATTAGGTTTTGAGTAGACACTTGCCGTCCCTTGAACGCTAGAGAAGTAATTATAACTACATAACATGTTGCTCTGCTTTTGTTGTTACAAGTGTAACGTAATAGCTAATAAGAGTGATACCATCCATTGAACAGCTCGAAGACCTATAGAAGTTGTGTAAAGGGTTATATTAGCAATGGAAATACGAGAAACGTAAAATACCAAGCATTGGTCCAAATATTAAATAACCCAATCCTTTTAAAGTTGTAATCACTAAATTTTCTCACCTGAAGATGCTAATGGTGATATTGAAACTGATGGCACCTTTTCTGCCTCATCTGATTCACTCTTTGATGAGGACCATGCTGTGGCATTACCACCACCACAGTAGAGGAAGTGTTGCAAGATAGATGAGAGACGAATTTGCATAACCCTACCAAATACAGTACTATTCAGGCCAAGGTTTCTTGAATTGGAGTCTG